TCCCGGGCCTTGACTTTGACTTCCATGGTCTACACAATCATTGTGTTTAATCTGCTGTAGCTCACTTTTATATATTTCTGTCTGAATAATACATTTAGTTTGTTTCAACAGAAAAAGTCATTATTGTAAAAGTAACATAAAACATAATTTGAATACTTGGATACAAGAAAGAGCCCTGTGTGTCACTTTTTGACACTTCGGGGTGAGAACTAATTGGCTGAGCAAAGTTGGTCCTCCTGCTGATCTAAAGATGGATGAGACAGACCAAAAATATGTGTGTGTGAAAACTAATGATGAAACCAAACTCTTCAATTAGGTTGTTTTTTCACACTTCAATTTCCTCAGGCTAAAAAGGTTGTTTGAATATATAATGTGAATTATCCATTTCAACATAGTGTCCACCTTAATTATGCACCTACAGCATAAGTGCATCGGTGCTTTGCTCAATTTTGTGCATTTCTAAAGATCACTTTCTCCATAACTTTTACAGCTTTTGGTTCTGCCATACCACTCGCATGCGTCACCTCTAACAACAACTCGCCCTTGTCAGAGTGTTGCACAGCCCTTTGCATCATGGAAAGAAGTCGTCATCAACCATTTATATTTAAAGTGCACTGGAACACCTACATTTCATGTCGGTGGAAAGAACTTCACAACCTCTGAACTGTAGGCAGAGCAACCATAGAAACAACTGTTTGTGTTTCTCTTGAGAATCCCATACGCAGAATCCCATGATACAGCAAAGTGTGAAGAGAGTGGTAGAGGTTATTTATTTATTTTTTGTGCAAAAGTACTGTCAGGTTTATTTTCTTTAAATATGGTGTGTTTGAATTTGTCAACATTATTTTAACCAGTTAAAACAAAGGGACCTGAATACATTTGTGGACAATAAGTGTTTATGTGCTATCAATTGGATTAAACAGATCTGAAAAGCAGAAATGGCAAATAACATTACAAAATCACCATCACCATCACAGATAAGTCATGTGGTGTGAATGGAACATTTTTTGGAGCAACTGCAGATCTTTTTCTTACAATTCTTGTTTAATTTTTGACCCAGCACGCAGCTCACAATGTAGGATGTCCATCTCTCTACAGATGGATATGAATATACACCTATTGAACTACACTGTAAACTCCAACTTTAAGTTATTTTAAATTGATTTTTCCCAGTAAGTAAATATTACTTGTTTATGGTTAGTTTATTTAAAGCTTGGCTATATCACTCAGGGCTGTCTCTGTTCAAGTAAGCTGCACTATCTTTAAACATGGGTAGTAAACCGGGGTTTGGTATGTTGGCTGAGTGGGTTGCATCACTGCTTCTCAGTGCAAAGATTTTGAGTTCAAATCCCAGTTGGAGCAGATATATGTGCAATATATATGTGAAATCACAGTCAAACTTTAAGGCAATCAATTGACTTCCCTTGGCAACTTCAAGTTAAGGATGTACTTGCAATTTATTTCCAAGGTTTTTTCAAGTAAACTTTACTTGTCAGGGTTTACAGTGTACTGCTATATGTTTTCCCACGAGGATCAGAGTCATTGAACAAAGCATTAATGCTTTATGCTGGATGTATATTATTATCAGCACTTTAAGAATTATCCTTGTTGGTGGCACCAGATTTCCCTCCTATTGATCCTTTGTAAACGATTTTTCCATAATATCCTGAATAGAAGCAGCTATTTTTTTCCTAGTCATCATGCGTCATGCAGCAAATATGTGTTATTATTTTGGTAGAGTTGGGCTGTTGTCAAAGCAGAGTTTATGGATTTATCAGTATGACTCCATCAAGTTTTAGCGGCTAGACTGTTGAATAAGAACTGGCATGGAAGCTAACAGTTAACTCATTTTGTGACCAGTTAAAACAATCATCTATTGGCTACATTACAAAGCTTATATTCCAGTGCGGCTTATATATGAACAAAACATACTTCTTTTTATAATGTTACTGATGCGGCTTATGTACAGGGGCGCTTACCAATACCAGAAACTACGCAGTAAATTGTTCTCATCCCAGAATTTCTAACGCACGCCTTACAGCAGGGGTCCCCAAACTTCTCTCTGTGAGGGCCACATAACTTTTCCCTTCTTCGATGGGGGCCAGGTCAGTTTGTAGCAGAAAAAGTGTGATGATTGTAGCGTTGAAAAAGTTACTAATAGTTAATAATGAAAAAAGTTCATAACTAAGGAACTTTTATTGCAAAAGTCCTACTTTATTATCAAATACACACATGAGTGTGTTCACAGTAAAGTGTCAATTAAAGTATCTAGACTTCAAAAGATTATAACTCTAAAACTAAAATTACTATCATAGATTGGAAAAAAAAAAAAGATTTCAAACACAGACAGATTGAAGAGATCGTGTGGATAAAATCAAAAGGAAAGATTGACAAATATTTTTTGGCCGACATTTTAAACGACCAAATCATCCTCTGATTGGACCATTCTACTGTGACTCAGTGACATAGAAAATAAAATGTCCTCAGTCTGAAAAAGCGGCAGATGAAATCCCACAAGATTTACATGGTTAGCACAACATCAGGAAATCACTTGATATAAAAAGGAATCGTTAAAAAAATAAATGACCCTTGAAAAATTTATAACAAACGTGATGGTTTCCGTTCATTTTTTTCTAACAATTAAACTTGAGAAAAAAAAATCTGGTCTGGTTTCACATTTAACTCATTGATTGCTAGCTAGATTTCACTGATTTTCAAGACCAACATAATATTGTGTGCTATGTCTATGTGAAATACAAAACCAGATTCTGAAAGACTGGATTGTCTACTTTCATCAGCAAAAATAAGTGTGTTTCTTGTCAGTTTTGATCTTCTGTAATCCGCAGTTGAATAGAGGGAAGTTTGACAGAAATCACCGGTCTCAGACAAACACGTCAATGGCAGTGAATTAGTTAATTGGTTGATTATATGAAAGTATCACAATACGTAACAAACTTCCGCAGCTCATTCCGTCAAATCATCACGTCCGTTACATAAAATAAGCAGGACCACTATAGGAAACTTGTCTAGTGTATAAAACAGTTATGTTCTAGCAACTTCTAAATGACAGAGGAGGTGTTTGGAAACATGAAAAACATGAAATATCTTTAGATAATTAAAATCACATTTTTGGCCTTTTGTCACACTTTTGTGCCCTTTAGTGTGAACAAGCCCATATATGAAAATACTCTCTGGTATTGTTCAGGGGGCCGGAGCAAATGTAGAGGGGGGCCGGGTCCGGCCCGCGGGCCGTAGTTTGGGGACCACGGCCTTACAGTAAACATAACACCACCACAAGTAACTACAGAGAACACTCCGCCTGGTCCTTCCTAAACGTGAATTAAAGTAGTTTCCGTAAAATAGTTCTCATTGTAAAGGCACCTAAAACCCCAATTTGCCGGAGCACCATAAACTGCTTGTTGCTCAGTCTCTGGTGACCTTTAAAAGACGGATTGGGGACTGGCCCCATTTAAAGCTTGTGGTCCCATACGGTTCTGAATGGAAATGCAAAATTGATGATGAGAGGCGAGAAGCCCAAATGAGTTGTGACACATTAGCAGGAGGTTGATGGATGAGCCCTGTCCATGTCACACAGTCCCCAGCACTTCACAATGGAAAGTCATGATTACACTGTAAACTCCAGGTCAATCAGTAATTTGTGTCAGTATTATTATTATTATGGATGGCTATTTGGAACAGATTAAACATTTGGCTTTGTTGTGGGTTACAGCACTAATACATCGAAGAAGACATGTCATGCATTCTTTTTGGACATAAAAATGATAATGAGACAATTTAATTTTCATGTTTTGGAAAGTGAATTAATATATTAAGTAGAAAATATATGGTGAAGCGTAAAATATGTTTTTGCCAGTAACTTCCCTTCACTACCAACAGGGGGAGCACTTTATAGTTTTTTTTTTTTTTTACGGCTGCACACACAACAACGTAAATATAAAGACCATAATTTCTGTTTTAAAAGGTAGTCAACTAATCTGAGTGACTTTTACAGTACTGAGACAGGCGCTTTTCGACAGAAGGGGTGGAGTTACGTGTTTGTGTCAGAAGTTCTTCATATTAGCGTGGATGGATCTAAAAACAACTCCAAGTCTGTTTCTGTTTTGATGAGGGTACAATGTTGTATAATGGTTAAAAGCTCAAAAAAGGACCATTTAGCAATAATGTCTTCAAATTAATGCAGTAAGTGACAATAAGCACAAGCACACATTTATACTTTTCACATTTTTGTAATGATAACAGTTCTATACACTTCATGAAATCTAAATACACAAATATTATACAGATAGCTCGGACAGAAAAGAATATTGAGGTGCGCTACAGCTACTGTTTCTTGGTTAAAACAGGAGTAGAAACAGGAGTAGGTGATAAATATGGAAAACTCGTGTGAAAAACGACCGTGCCAGGAAGGAATAACTGATTTTGGGAAATGTTAAAGCGTGAATGAATGCGTTTAGCCCTGAATCTGTAAAACATTTGGTGGTGTATACTGTATTACTGTGCTTCTTTCAAGTGGTTATGTGATATAATGAGATACACACTGTCTGCAGAAAGAAGTACAATACATTTTTTTGTAAACATTTGCAAACATCATTCGTTACCAGAGATGATACACAAGCAGATTTCATATATTTCTTTGATGTAAGAAGACAACAAAAACAAATTCAAGTGGTGTAATTTTCTACTAGACCTAACATCGAATAATGAAAAAACAAGAGGGGGAAAAACATATTCTATAATAAATGTTTCGCTTCTGGTAAAAATAATCTTGTTCTCTTCAAAAACATGCAACATCTTATGCAAATTCAGTAACAACATAGTGATTTTCTTTCCCCCAAACAGTTAATAAGTTACAATCATTTGCATTTTTGTGTCGAGCTGTAATTATCCACTGCGTATTGTGTGTCGGTGTAGCAGGTCATCGTGAACTTCTTCATTCTCACATTTGAATAAAAGCAGCGCTGGTTACTTGCAGGGCTGTTTTAAACCTCCTCCACAGTTGTGCTCCTGTTCTTCAGCAGTGACCTCCGCTTCCTGCTAGCCATCGCTCCCAACGGTCGGATCTTCATCTCGGTGAAGTCCAGAGAATCCAGGTGGCCTTTCCAGGGCTCCCAGTTCACTCCCTGTGCGTGACCAGACAGACAGAGGATGGAGGTGATGTGAAAAGAACATTCATTCAAACGTAGTGTGAGTACTTTGTCTATATGGTTGTTACGTCCTGTCCTTTTGCTTTTATGGTACATTAATATGGAAATGATATAACATTAAAAGTGAATGTCTAACAGCACAAAAGGTTATGGCTTTGAGAGATTGGACTCTATAACTGTGGTTGCATAATCTTTTATGTAACTGTCTCTCTTAACACAATCAAGCTCGCACATTCACGCAGGTTAAACCTAAGAGGGGAACTATATATAACACACACACACACACCCGTCTAAAATATGCCCTCATAATTTTTTTGACAATGTTTTATCTTTTTCTTACTAAAACTACATGTGTAGAAAAGTACACGTGAGACTAGATCCACTTTCAAGTTCCACTCTTCCCAGAGGTCAGACCGGACCATTTGCTAGCTCAAGCAAAACTGTAAATGTATGTTTTGTGATTGACTAAAACTCTACTTTCCTATGCCACATAAAATACATGTATTTTTGCTTATCTTTGACAACAACAAAAACACCAAGACTGATATCTGGATCTCGACTACAACAGAAATGAGTTTGAGTCGGTACAAGGCAGTCTGGCCTCTGGTGTGGGCGCACTCACCGTGCTGTGCCTGGTATCTCCCCACTTGCCGTTGAGGTTTGCCAGGTGACAGTTCTTGTACCACCAGGCGCCGCGGTGAGTCAGCGCACAGTTGCCGAGGGCGATGTCGTTGTCATTGTCCACTGTGGTCCAGGGCCGGCCCTGATGGTAGGTCATAGCATCGCCTGCAAATCCATAATTCAGCTTAATTATTACCTCGGCAACAAATCCATCTGAACGCTTATTTCTCTGCCTCCATCTGCTCTTCCCTGATGGATGGAATTTAATAAAATGTCTAAAAGAAGAAGCGTACACATTGTTTCAGCACACTGTGCTGCTGTATGTGTCTGACTTCAAAGGCTCTTCTGCAGAGAGCATCACCATATGTGTTGCCTGTAACTATGTGAACATGGCTTTCTATTTAAAAAAACTCTTCCCAGTGACACTGTATATTGGCTTTCTCAGCAGCACCCAGTAATTGAAACCCCCTGTCTGTTATATTGCTGCTCTTATTCCCTAGTGCTCTATTCCAGGTGCAGACAAAACACTGAGCTGAATTGTGCATGGATGGCATCTTCTCGAAGGGGTTTCATTTAAAGATTCGAGGAGTGAAAAACTCACCTGCTGTCCCACTATATTTGCCAATGGTAAGTTTGAACTTCTGCTTGACTGGTGCAATCTTGAAGTTGTCATAAACAGCATAGACCCTCTCCGAGCCATAGCCTAAGTCGAATCTTATCTCGTACTGAGTAGGAGTGTTAGTGAGATCGTAAATCTTCTCCAAACCTAGATGAGAGAGAGAAGATGTTACATGACTTAATTTGCATGTTTTAAGAGTGAAAACGAAAATAAAACCAAGCTTGCCAAGCCAGAACTCCTCTGTCAAGTTGCCAAAGCCAGCGATGTACTGTTTCCAGCGCTTCATGAAGTCCAGCTTGCCAATAGTACGCCTCTGCAACACCTGAAAGCAGCATGAGCCGTGACTGACAGCAATAAATATTCAAGATGGCTTTTGAACAGAGGTCAAGTGTCAGTGTTAAAGTCTTCTCTCCTCTTAAATATTCAAATAAAGAACCAACAAAAATAATATGTGTTTGTAGGTATTGAAGACCTTATAATAATAGTAATAATATGAATACATCAAACTTATGCAGCACTTTTTTGGACACTCAAAGAAGCTTTACAAAACATAAAGAAATAAACATTGAAGAACAAAATTAAGGAAAGGCAAGGTGAAACAGGTGGGTTTTGAGAAGTGACTTAACGTCCTGATTGAATAAAAATAAGCTGCATTACAGGACGTTCATGAGTGACTATAGAGTAGATTACGTACTAGCCAGCCTCCTCCGTCTGTGTCCATGTCGCAGTAAACCTCGATGGGTCTGGATTGGTCATTGTTGATGTAAATGTTGTAGATTCCGCTCTTTGTGATACCGTTCTTCATGATCTGGGAGCAGTCCATGGGGAAAGGATACATGATGCCCACTAGCAATGAAACAAGCATGATTAATATTGACTATTAACATGGGTTTTAAATAGTAAGCCTTTGCACTGACCTGTTTTGAAGACAGTCTCAACCACTTTGCTTCTCTTGTTGCCTTTGTAAGCAATGATGGACACAATGTATTTCTTTCCCATTTCCAGACCAGACAATGCAAGTTTTTTATGTCTGGCTCCAAGTTTCTTTTCAACAGTCTGAACAAAATACAGAAGACAGTATTTCAAAACACCTGGTCAAAGTAAAGGTGTTATACAGCAACAATGAAACATGTTTTTTATTGTTGAATATTGTCATTCCTGAGTCCAAACATGTCCTCATTTGCTTCTGAACGTTATCCCCAGCCACAAGAGGTCAGCGTTCCACTATGCATGAGTTGAAGGGGCTTTGTTATGCAAATGAAAGCTCTTGTGACCGTCAGAGTTTAAAAGTGCATTTATGAATATATTTATAAAAATGTGTGTTATTACCTGCATTTTACCCTCCTCATCTCTGTATGTGAGGATGTATCCCTGAATGTCAGCCAGAGGAGAGACCCAGGTCACTGTGGCAATGTTCATAGTCACATCTACAGCCTTCAGGTCTTTGGGAGCGTCAATATCTGTCAGATGGAAATACCAACGCCATATATTCATGAACAAGAAACAGTCAGAGCTAATGGTGGGTCTTATATGTTCTATTCAACAGAAAGCATCACGTACCATAGACCATCATTCTATCATTTACTCTCTTCCTGTTTGTCATTGCTGAGGTCAAATGATAAATGGAAATGTATGATATTGCCGCATTTAAATGATTCCCATTTGCTAAAAAACTGATGCTAAAAGATTGGTGAGTGGTTGAGACCTCAGGATACCGCACTCTAAAACAATTAGGTTAAATGTACATTCAAACCATTTATTTGGTACTAATAATAATGCATAGTACCTTTAGTTTTTGTAACACCCAAAGCCACTTCACATACCATTATTCATTCAATTCTACACAGTGGTAGCAAACTATTGATGTAGCCATAGATGCCCTGGGGCAGACTGACAGAAGCAAGGCAACTAATCTGTGCCATCGTTCATACAGTCTATGCATCATTCCTTCTGAACATCACTGATCATTCACACACACACCATCATACTAGGCAATGTGTGCCAAAGGAGGTCTCCCATCACTGTATGCAAACATTAACAATATTTCAGAGAGCCACCAGATACAAATGAATAATTCTGGGTACATTCTGACCATGTATTATCCATCCATCCATCCATTTTCTACCCTTTAATCCATTTCTGGGTCAGGGGGGTGGCAGTCAGAGATGCCACCCAAGTCTCATAGCACCAGCCCCTCACTGACCCTCTGCAGGTGGTGAGTCCACAGGAGGACGGCTGCTCTCTGAGTGTGAGCATAGCCTTGATCTTTCAGTGGGGGCTTTGGGCAAAGTGGGGTTAAGTGTCTTGCCCAAGGACACAACGACAGCAGTCATCAGTGGGAGTCGGTGGAGAAGGTGTTGAGGTGGGAATTGAACCCACAACCTTTCTCAAGTTTCAAGAATTTTTTTGCCATTTGCAGTAAAACCACATTGGAAAAACTGTGCAAGGCTACCAGTGAGCACCAGATTATCCTCAACTGGACTACTGCCAGACTTTCCCAGGTAGACTTTAAAACATTTGGATAAAAGTGCCTTGTTAAGACCATATTGTGCCTTGCCTAATAAATTATTTAAGTTGTTTCCAGTCTTTTTTCTACATAGTTTGATAAAATAATGTTTAATAGCAGTATAAAAACTCTATTGACCTGTTTCAGCCTGAGTGGAGGTCTTCCTGCTGGCTCTACTCCCCCTGACGGCCCACACGTGCACAGTGTACTGGACTCCAGGCCTCAGACCAGTCAGCTTGTGAGAGTTTTGGTCAGGTTTGAGAGGGATTTCCTCACTAGTGCCCTCAGAGGAGCTGTGGGTTAACCTGTAGCCATCTATCTCTGCTCGGACCGTATCCCAAGACACACTGAAGCTGGACTCAGTGGTGTCTCGAGCTACAAGGTTAGCTGGAGCGTCCAGGTCTAAGTGCAGAGGTTAGTACAGGTTAATCACTACAAGCAGTTTCAATCTGGAAAAGAGGAAAAACATTAAACAGTGTGGCATGCTTTTGAAAGAGATGAAGGATTACACAATTATAGTGTCAACATTTCTACGCTACTAAATTACCAGACGAGAAAATATTATATGAAATCTCACATACTCGTACACAAGAACAGCAAAGTGATTACAAATCCTTAAATAGTTTTACTGGGAGCACTTTTTTGTAATAATTGAAAATCAAATATAGAAATTAGTAAATGCTGGTATCAAGTTGTTAAATCAGTATACATGTAACCTTTTTTAAACTTTTATTCTCATGTACATGTTCTTCTCATGGCCACATTATACAGTTGGTGCTTCTCAGCTGGATCAGTTAGAATCTATAGACTTCTGCAAATCTTATATCAGGGTGAAGGGTAGGACCTTGTTTGTCACAACATTGATAAGGGATTTTGTTAGATTCCCCTTCAACAAAACTACAGCATTAATACAGTAATGTATAAAATAAAGTCCTGGTGTTGTTTTAACATAGATGTTTAACAATAAAAAGAGAATTCCAGAGTTGGGCACCTGTTTCAGCCTGAGTGGAGGTCTTCCTGCTGGCTCTACTCCCCCTGACGGCCCACACGTGCACAGTGTACTGGACTCCAGGCCTCAGACCAGTCAGCTTGTGAGAGCTTTGGTCAGGTTTGAGAGGGATTTCCTCACTAGTGCCCTCAGAGGAGCTGTGGGTTAACCTGTAGCCATCTATCTCTGCTTGAGGAGGGACCCAACTAACGACAAAGCTGGACTCAGTGGTGTCTTGAATGGAGAGGTTGGGAGCATCTAGTTCTGCACAAGGTATTTACACAACATTATTCTTATCGAGAACTGCATATTTAACAAGATCAGTCATGTGATTATTAAGTAGAAGGGTACAATTTCTATGATCAAATTGAGACCATTTCTAATCATAACAAAACTGTAGTAATCTGCATTCCAAGCCTCTTCTGAGATCTGCATTATTGTGCTCCCGCTGTTTGACGGATGAGGGGGCTCAGTGAACCTAACATAAGTCTGTTAGTCTCATTTAAACCTCTCAAGAGAAACATGTGTAAGTAACTTTATGGGAGTATGTGATTTGAAAGCTAAACTAAAGCTAAAGTCAGGTGAACATAGGCCAGTCTGCTGGTTCACCTCGGTGTTCATAGAAGCGGACAGCAGCAGCTGCCTGCCTTCACAACACATTACCAGACAGGAGAGAAGACCATGAAAACTCGACACTTCGTCGACTTGGAAAAATGTCTGTTGTCAGATTTTTAAGGACATTTAGCCTACAGCAAGATTAAAGTGCCTTTAAATGAGCTATCCAGACTAATTATCTTAAAACAGGTACTTGAGAACTTTGCTCTAGGGCATTCCACAAAACATGCTTAATTTTTGTTTCAAAATGTGTGGGGATTTGAGGGGAAAAAAAAGAAAAAAGATCCCCAAATACTAAAAAAGAGAATAGAGCTTCCTAATGAGTTCAAACAGGGACAGGAAAAAAGAAAATCTGTCTAACTATGAAGCTGCAGTATTCAGATAATCCAGGTGCTGCTGCCCGTAGACCCTACCTGTCTCTGCCTGTGTGGATGTCTTGGGGCTGACCCTGTCCCCTCTGAAGGCCCAGATGGAGACCGTGTGCAGGACCCCGGGCTTCAGACCGATCAGCTTGTATGAGGTGTCGTCACGACCCACAGCATACTCTGGACTGGTGCCCTCGCTCGTCTCATAGCTCAGCATGTATCCTTCCACCTCCGCCTTCACGAGCTCCCATGTAACCGAGGCCGTGTCCTCCGTCACCTCTGTGGTCACCAGGCCCACAGGAGCGTCCAGGTCTGGAGAGGGGGGCGAGGAACAAACCATTGTGCCAAAGAATGCTTCCTTCCCTCAAACTAAACTTCCAAGATTGAATGACCAAAGTAAATACATTTGGTTTACATTTGGTAAATACATTTAAGAGGAAATAGATGCCAGAATGGTACACAGAGAAGCCAACGCATGCATTCTGAAATGAAAGATTAGGAATGGCATTTATAACACCTATAACACCTATAACACTATATGTCTTAGATTTCTCTGTAAAGGGCTCTGCGAATGTACAGCAAAATGTAGAAGTCAACCCAAAAGCTGGTGATAATCCGACAGAAGCAAAGAGGAAGTGAAGCCAACTGCAAAAGCAATCATCATTTGTGAATATCCCGGGAGGCAGGTCAGTCTCATGTCACTGTGCACACGCCATGGTCCACTTTGAGGGAAGCAGCCACAAAAACCAACTCTAACTTAATGTATCTGTCCTTCACCGTCTGCTTCCTGTTCAAGCCCCTATCTCCAGTTAATAAGGAACTCAAAATAACATTAAAAGGGTAAATTTGCGCAGAGTTCATGTTGTTAAATACTGAGACTACTATATTGTCAATGAAGATGTAAGAAACAGGTTTTAATGAGAAAATATGTGTTTATATTGTATTCTTGCTACATTGTTTGAGTAAATTGTTTAAGATAAGATAAATAGACTAATTGATCTCACACAGGAGAAATGTACATGTCACATCTGGCAGGGATAGAAACACTCAAGATTGTGCAAAAGAAAGAAATGTGCAAACATGTTAAATGCAGTATTATGTACAATAAAAAGTGGCAATCAAGAAACAGTGACAATAGTAGCGCAGGTTTTTTCAGTCCTAATGCAAGTGACTAAAAGTGACTTTTTGTGCAGTCTGACAGCGGTGGGGATAAAGGCTCTGCGGTAAACTTGGTCATAATGAGAATGTAACAATGGATTTTTTTAGTAGGAAAGTTAACTATATTGAGACATTGATACAAATGTTATGTATTTATTTTCTGAATTTCACAGAATTTTTTTTTCCCAAAATGGACTCACACACTGTGGTAGTGACAGCGGACTCGACCATTGGAAAGAAAATAGCTTATTCATTTCAGGTGCTATGTTCAGAAATAGGTTTTCATACAAGGCAATGCAAAGGAAGGTTTCTCACCCATCATCTGTACTTCTTAGCAGGTTTTTTGGGAAAACCTACTAAGAAGTACAGATGATGGGTGAGAAATCTTCCTTTGCTTTGACTAATCCCTGTACGACTGAGGGCTTACACAAATATACAAAGGCAATATTGAAATATGTGTCAGTATCAAATGTTACTCTTGAAACAAAAGTTCCCCATTTCAAAAGTGACTTCAGGTGATTTCCTCCAATGATGACTGTGTGACATGTTGATTATCAACTTTCATTTACCATTTTAGACCCTTTAACAAGTGCCCAATGCTGTCTCCTACTTTCTTCTAATGGTGCCCAGAGTCAGTAGCCTGACTCTCGCCAGACCCCTGAAGTTCGCTGAGCTTCACACGAGGGTCTGGGTCTGCTTCATAGCGATACATTTCAGAAGGTGGGGCCTTGTAAATAAATTCTTCTTTAAGATTGGATAAACCACTTGTCTGTTATTTTGAAGACGTGTTTCTTCAGCCACTCACATCAAAGCCTACGATTCAGCTCTGGACTCCCATGGGTTGCCAAATGCCGGCGAGATTTTTCTGCCCAAAAACCGCCCAGAATGCCCCAAAAAAGACAACCAGAATGATTTTTTGGCTAAAAATATAATGTAATCAACTTGGGCTATCATGATTCTTTTTATCGTCTTTCTGTTTATTTTTCTGTTTAAGTCGCTTGGAAAAAAGTACGCCGGAAACCACCCAACCCTGCTGCGTAGTGTTGTAAACAGGAATACTTAAACTAGTACTTAAAACCACACTTTACATGAACATTTGACTCTTAAAACACACATATAACAACATGGATTTTTTTTTATTTATCACAGATTTTATTACTTCTAAAAAATTACCTGTTACTTTATTCAGTTACTCTCTTAAGAAAGTAACTTCTTTACTTTACTCTTCTGTTACTATTATTCTTGGCTCTGAACTGTTATGGGGTTGTTGTCATGAACACAGCTCTAGGGGAATTGCTTTAGGACCTCTAACTCTGAGCCTTATACAGTACACTCGAGTAACTCAGTGTCTGCGCTAAAGGACAGACTTCCTTTTCATCAAAAGAAAAAAGTCAGCCTCACTGGCACTGCTGTGTCGCACCCGCGGAGTCTCGGTTAAAGTGCGTCACCACTAGCAGCCTCTTGCTTCACATACATGTGGATTGAGAACTTATTGTGCGTGAGTCGTGACTGATCTGCAAGCACCAGCATAGGAGTGGTCACAGCTGCCCGTGGTAAATAAAAAGTAAAGTTTCAGCGGATCGAAAAAGAAACGCTGTTACATTACTATATTGTCGATAGTCAGGCCCGTCGGAGGAGCTGTGCGAACTGTGCCACCGCACAGGGCCTCTCACTGCACAGGGTGTCGCAATGTTCCTTCTATTTGTTCTTTTTTTTAAAAAGTCTGCAGTCCTGGGCCGAACTGCGATCCAGGTTCGGACCCCAGACCCCTTTTACTGGACCTCCCGTGATTTTTTAACTACATTATTGCAAGTATGTCATATTCTCACCCAAAGCGATTTGTCCAGTCCTCGGGTCTCTGCACTGGCTTCCTGTGGCTCAGAGAATAGACTTTAAAACAGCTCTGCTTGTGTACAAGTCTCTCCATGGCCTCGCACCAAAATATATTCGTGACATGTTAGTACCATACGAACCAGCCCGGACTCTGAGGAGCACAGGGACTGGACTCCTGTTAGGCAGCTTTTCAGGCAGCTTTTCAGATTCATGCTGCTAAAATCTAGAACAGTCTTCCTGAAAGTGTGAGACAGGCCTCCTCTCTGACAATGTTTAAAACCAATAATATATACAGTCTATGGTTGGATCTATTATAATAACTGGATTAGGGCTGCAACTAACGATTATTTTAATAATCGATTAATCTGTCGATTATTTCTTTGATTAATCGGATAAAAATATATATATATATATATATATTTTCCATCCCTTTGTTCACAAACATGGCCATGGACCTAAACAAAAAAACATGCAAATGTAAGCTATGCAAATATTGGCTTTTTGAAAAGTAAAGTGCACAAAAATAGGTATTTTTTTAGGGATACACTGATGAACACATTATGTCGGAATTCCGCCACTTGTCTGAAAATTCTCATCCCTGAATACATATATATATATATATATATATATATATATAATGTCATATAATTTGACATGTACAACTAGTACATGTCAAATTTTCAACGATTTGTAAACAGGCGACCGAGAGGGCGGCTATACGCTGCGAGGTCTTCTTCGGTTTTCTTTAAATCCACACTTTACTACCACAAACTCTGCACCCTGCCTCCCGCTCTGGCTCTGCTCTCCGCTGCTCTGATGAGCAGCTCTGATTGGTCAGAGCGCGGCCGAGCCCCTCTGTGCGCGTGCATGAAAGCCACACACGCACGTTTGGCGCAAAGCATGATGGGAGATATCTCCCATCATGCGTTGCGCTAATCCACTGCGCAGAACCGGGAGGACCAGACGATGCCCAATTATAGACGAGTTCAGCTAATCTCTTCCGGTCTCCATGAAGTCCCATGCGCTACTGAGCACAAGCCATTCATTTGAATAGGGCGCCATCTTGGATCGCCGGGGGTTGGTCCTTTGGAGACTTTACGGACCTGTAAAATAACTTTAGCGATGTCTACTATCTAAATCATTGATCGAAATCCCAAGTGATTCAGATAGGAGGAAAGAGACTAAGCATAGCTACACCTGCCGAGATGAGAGCGCATAGTGTGTGTGTGTGTGAGCTGTGTAAGCGGAGGAGCAGACGTGTGTGTGTGAGCGAGCGGAGGAGCAGACGTGTGTGTGTGTGTGTGAGCGGAGGAGCAGACGTGTGTGTGTGTGAGCGAGCGAGAAGGAGCAGACGAGCAGACAAGTGTGTGCGCTGCTGATGCCACAGTGAATTAGAATTAATCAGAAGTCACCATCTTTATACATTATATAAAAAAAGTCTGAACACAGCTGTACAAGAATGTGCCCAACTCATGTGAGCTCCGCGCAGATCCATGGCTCCGCGACGTAGTGGGTGAAACATTAATTGCGCGACACAACAAATCGATAATGAAATTTGTTGCCAACACTTTAAATTAGCGATTTTAATTTGTTGTTGCAGCCCTAAACTGGATAGGGTATTACTAGCTTGGAGCTGAAGGATCCACACTTTAGTGCCACAAACTCTGCTCATTTGGCACCCGCTCCAACTCTAGCTCTAACGCCGCTCTGATCAGCAGCTCTGATTGTTCAGAGCGTGGCTGAGCTCCTCTGTGCACATGCATGAGAGCCACACATGCGTATATGCCGCAACGCATCATGGGAGCTCGTCCACTGCGCAGAACCAGGAGGACCAGACGATGCCCAAATGTAGGCCAGTTCCGCTAATCTTTTGGCCACTGAGCACAAACCATTTAATTGAATACTGCGCCATCTTTTTTTTACAATGTTCTTAATGGGGAGATTTACTTCCTGTCCCTCAGAGGACTTTCGTGGCACTGCGTGACGTCAGGTGCAACCCAGCAATATAGTATTTGTAATTGTAATTATTGTATTGTAATATTTACGTCTTAGAAGTGTATGCTTATTTTTATTATGCCTTCCTCTATTCTTTACCTCTCCTCTTTGACTGTTGCATCGGGCCAAAGCAATTTCCTAGTCTGTGACTTCCTGTTACTTACATCGCAATAAAAATGATTCTGATCTCAGTCTCATCTACTAGGTTATTCACTCATCTTCACCTCCACTCAGCCAATATATTATCGTCAGAAACACAACACAGAAACCAGGGGCGCTCCGGGAGAGCGCCTTCAGGACGAGAGCCTTCTCTGTTAGGGCGTCTC